TAGGATTTGTTTGATCCTTATCGCGAAGATCGTCCTGCGTGTGTTATACACTCAAAGAGTCTATGGTGGTTGTACCTGGTTAATCCAGATCGAGATATGGTTTGTTCGCAACACCAGTGGGTGGTAGTTCGAACCCTAAGTGGGGGAGAACTAGGTAGCTAATAGATTTTCAACTAGCACCTGGCCTCTAATCGTTAATTCTTAGGTGAGCGAGAGAGATATGGATCGATTTATACGGGATTGACACTCCCACCTGTGGTTGCTAGCTACAACCTGACGGCAAGTCAAAGCAGGCATAACTTTCTAAACACAACGATGTCCGATGAAGCGTCGTGGCATTTTCGGGAGCAACAGTCATAGCTCGATTATAGGAACTCATCGTAACTTTGTCAAACTAAAACTAGGTATCATAAAATACTAATAAAAATTAATTAAGTAGTGATAGTACACAGAAACTCGGGGAAGAAAGTTTAGGTCAAACCAAAACTAAACTATCATAAACTACTAATACCATACGTAGTGATAATTCACATAAACTCGAGGAAACGAGTTCGAATACAACATCCACTATTCTTGAGGAACGCCTTGAGAAGCAGTGCCTACAACATGATAAAAAATATTAGGAGAATATTATAGAAACACTAACCTAGAGATAGGGTAACAAGTAAAATATACATCTTGTATCCAAAACAAGATTCATATTTAGTCACTAAACTATCTGAATCCTACTACCAAAACATTAGAAAATACGCTAACAAACTAACCTAGGTTGAGGTAACAACGAGTGTTAACTTAATAACATCAACAAAGTATTTTCATACTTACCAAACCTGTGAACTCACCAATATTAAGTTGACCCTCTCAAAATCACATGTATTCCTAGGTCAACCCACAAAGATAAAAGTCTAACCACAGAGTACAGATGACATTCATACTATCAAAGGACATAGAAACTCAACACGAAGGCCTCTTCCATAAAGCCAACAATTCAAAAAGTGGCGCTGCTCAGTGTTTCCTCCACCAAGCCAAGGGTGGGATAGATTGGTATCAGAGCTTAGGGTTATAGTGAATTAGTAATTCTTTAGGAAATATGACTATAACCTAGGGACATATACTCTATAAAGATATGTCCTCATATCTAAAACTAAAAGTATTATTAAAATACACTACCGATAGACTACTAACGAGAGAGGTGACTAGTTTGGAGTATCGCTTGGGTTGCTGGATTTCAGAACGAATATATGTTAAAATGATCCTGCCCTCCGGTACTTCTCATCTGGATGATCCTTATTTGATAGTCTTGAAGTACAAAACCAAAACTTAATACAGAAGAAATCAAGATTTTAGGTTAAGTTCCCTAAATAAGTTTAATAACACATTGTCCAAGCCAAGACTAGACATAGAACTGATCAACTCTGTTTTATTTTATGGGTCTAATGCACTACTAAACCTAAATCACGATACCTGTCTCATCGTGAAGGGGTCGCATGAGAAACGACTCTAATAGCGCCATCAAACCCAAATCGCTCGTAGCATGCCATTCTAGAGACTGCGGGATGCTGATCTGCTTAGTTAGCAGCTCCGAACCCCGCCTAATGTAAGAATCTGGTCAGGAAAAGTGGTCGGGAACGATAAAAACGGGTGTGTCGGCCAGTCGTGAGGAAACAACCCAGCTCGTTGTCGTCTGTTCACTGTGGAACCTGAGAAAATAAATTAGGAACGCTAGTAAATTAAAATAAAAATTAAAAATAAGAAAATCTGGGAAAATCGCCCCGCGTGTGCATTTCTTCACGCACGACGTGCATATGAAGATGCGCCCCGGGTATCTTCATATGTGTCGCGTGCCTCAAGAACTCGTCGAAGAACAGATCGGAATTGGGTCTAATTTCGTTCAACTTTCAGTATAGGAAGCATGGGGGTTCGATACTCCTACAAGCTTCTTACAACACCATTTTGGTTTAAAACGTGATAGAAGTTCAGATTCAAATCAAAACCCTAAGTTTTTCCAAAACCTCGAAAAACACCAAATTGGGGGAAAATTAACGGATCTTAACGATAATCGACTATATAACTACTATAATCGGTCCATATATTAGGTAATTAACCCATCAATTTCACATTATCAAACCAAAATTTGAAAAACCCCAAAATACTCTAAAACTCAAAAACGGGAAACTTGAATCCATTATCAATGGAAAGATGTTAAGGATTAGTACACGTGTACGTGGAAGGAAGGGGAATCGGATGGGAGAAAATGACAAAACCTAAAAAGCACGACATGCAAACCTCGTATGGGACCCAGAAATTATGAAAATTGGAATATGAGTCAGATGTGCACGTCGACAAGGAGGGCCAGCACGCTTATTTTACACTTAGCCCCAGCGCGCGCGACGCACCTGCTTGCCCGACGCACATTCCTAGAAATCCAGAAATATATATTTTTTATTTCGCCTGACCACTTTCAATCTAAAAACTGTAGATATTTACCTAGAATACTCATCATTTAAATTAAAACGAGCTCTAGATGCACCAAAAAGGGAAATAAACCAACAACGAAACAAATGAACAATCCTACCTGGAAAGCGACAAGCAGACATGTTGCTAAGAAATTTAGTTAACACAGAAACAAACTCGGAAGTTTTAACCCAACATCAAAATTTTAGGAAAATATCCTTAACAGAGTAGCAGCCAGGAAATGTCTACCAGAAATTCATTAGCAGCTAGAATCCGTCCACAAGGACAAAGAAGCAACTAGCTTAAACCCTAGGAAAAGGAAATAAAAGTCATCTTACGAACCCACATCAATGCTAAGAATGAGTAGGGCTAAGATTATCACCTATAGTATATCACTCAACTGGTATAATACAAAGATTTAAATATTAGGGATGAATACTACACCCTTTAGCAAAGTAAGCATGACTGGATAATAGTAGAATATAACCCACAGAAATAACCCGAGAATAGGAAACACTTGTCAAACCCAATATAAGTATAAACATCGCCCCCTCGAAAATACTAGGAAATTGAGGAGCGGAAAAAGGCACACAAGGAGATAGAAACCCAAGGACTGGAACACCTCTTAGGATTACGAAGACCCTAAACCATTTAAGATAGAACACACCATTTTAGGGCAAGATACACTATAACCCTAGAGAAACCCCCACTCCATGAATTCATGCCCACACAACCATACAACGGGGATAGAAAACGAAGACCAAAAACTCATGGCACAAAAGGCCATACAACTAGAAGCCATAGGAATCCGAATCTCATCATAAACAATCCTACCTGTGGTCTTGGTCAGGAATATATTAGACTCAATCATTCAAGATAACGCAAAACTATGAGGTTCATGACAAACCGCTACGTCAAGTAGATCCCAAACGTCTCGAAAAAACGCACACCATTTAGCTAGAAGTAGAAACCAACTAAGGCTGGAAAAGTGTCCGAAGGTAGCATTAGCATAAGATGAACTGATAAGGAGAACCACCACATCTAGCATACAACGGTTTAGAAAAGAAACAAAAACCACAACTCGAAGCAAACACGTAAGCACTCAAATAAAAAACAGCTAGATCGTGAAACAAAAAAGTAGAGGTTCAAGGGAACCTTAGCATGATTGATTAGTAGAAACTTTAGGTTTCCTCTTAGTGTAAAACAAAATAGGAATATATTTCCTCTTAAAAAAATAGGAACGGATTTCCTCTTAGCGTGAAACAAAATAGGAATGAATTTCCTCTTGATGTAAAACAAAATAGAAGTGGGAATACACTTCCAACTACTCCACAACCCCTCACTAACCAACAAATACCCGACAAAACTCAAAACGAATCCCAACCTCATTGCAAAAACAAACCTTAAAAAAGGGGAGAACACTTCTCTAAGACTACGCCATAGGAATAATTTCCGAAAGCTAAATTCCATTAAGATACTCCCAACCAAGTACCTTCACATCAAGCACTATGTTTGAATTCCGGGGACGAATATTCCTTCAACAGGGGGAGGATGTGACAACTCAAGAAATACGCCCCCAATCACCGTTAGCAACCAACTTCAAAACATGATAATAAAAATCTTGTAAATGCCAAAAATTCCAACCATCACTCTTATTAACGTCAAACCATAGACTAAAAAATAAGTGCACAAAAAGTCGTGTCACTTTGCGAGAAGGTTAATATATTTAGATTCTACATGCTACTGCAATTCCATAAAGCCGTGTCACTTCGCTAGAATATGACACAGTATGAGCGATATATGACATTTATAGTAAATAAAATGTCTACCGTACTTAGAAAATTTCAACAACGAAAAACAACAGAGAGATTGGTCGACTTTTGGAGAAAGTCGCCCACTAGACAAACATAGTACTACTTAAAGTAGGAATTATGAAGCGAAAAATGCTTAAAACAAAAATCATAAGAGGGAGATATTATTTTTAACAATAATGAAAACTAGTCAAAAAACGAAAGTAAAAAACCAGCAAAAGCGACCAAAAGGAAAGTTGTAGAGAACAAAGAGATCTACAAGAATATATAAAAGTGGTAGGAAACAGAGATCGTACGTGAGAGTTACGGAATTTCAAAGTTTGGTATCCCCGTCATGCACGCTCGCACGTAGTGACACACGATTTCATTGAGATACGGGATGATGTGGCATACCGAAGAGACGACACATGGCATCATCGTATGGTTCACGCGTATTTTCACGGCGCACAATGCATTACGTGCATCTCAAAATCCCTATAAATAGAAAGTATTGGATGATCCTTTCTCACACCTCAATAGACATATCTATCTCTTTTCTCTCTTAAAATGCATGCCAATGACTCCCGAGCGTCTCTCTAGTACCAGAATTGTGGATCTTCTTCCTTACATCAATGGTTTCATAACTCATAGGTGAGTTATGAAAGCACAAAAGAAAAGAAGAAGACTAAACAACCAAAACCTGTTCAAGAACATGTGGAGAAGGAAGTTTCAAAACATGTTCAAGAGCATGTGGAGATGGAAGTTTCTAAGGAAGTCATTCCTTCGAAGACATGCATTCTCCAACGCACAAAGAAGCGAGCTAAAAGGCCTCAACATTCTCCTCTTAGGCCATGTGTTCCAGATGTTGAAGTTCAAACCCCTACCAAATCCCATCACACTCATTCTTCTTCTAAGGGGGTAAAGAAAATTCGTAAACCTCAACTTAACAGACGAGGTGTTCTTATTCGCGAAGTTCATGCTCCTGTTTCACTAGCTTCCATGAAACGTCAAGCAAAAGAGATGGTTAAAAAAGCTTAAGAAGAAACATAGACAACTTGAAAGCCCGATTGATAAAGTCGTTGTTGAATCAGAGCATAGCAGTGATAGCGAACGCTCTGATATTCGCATTGATGATACTGGCTTTGGGTTACCTCAAAGGGATTCTCTAGTTCAGTCGATTTTCATGGAGACTGGAAGTCCCGGTGTCAATTTACAGTTATCTAATACGGATACAAACACCAATTTGAGTGATCCTCCATCTACTTCCATCCCTGAGAAGGCAATAGTCATACCACCCGAGGTTTCGCAAACCGAGTTCTGCACGGAGGAGGTTCCCACCTCAGGCATCATTGTGCACATATCTGATACAAACACAAATGTCACCATGGGTGAAGGGGTGATGAAAAATGAAGCCTTTGGTGCTTCCACTCTTGATACCTCAACTGTTTCTACATCATTAATTCTTTCATCTACCATTGAAACCACAATTCTTGATACTTCAACTTCATTGCCACCATTTTCTTCTCCTATTCCTTCATTATTTCCAGCTTCCACAATCTCACCAACATTCTCCACAATCATGCATGAACCAATAACTACTCTTTTCTCTTCGCAATCCACTAAAGCAGAAAGGATAGTTCAAGAAGATGAACCTAATGACGATGATATAATGTTTTCTTTTACTGACTTAGAATTTGATTGTGAGGAGGATAATGTTCCTCACAACATGCTAATGGCAGGTAAACATTTCATAATCCTCAACAACAAGCTAAATTTTCTGTTATAGATAGAAGGTGAAACTAAGGGTCGAAGTTTTGTGTCTGGGGTTCAAGTGGAATATTTGTTAAAGTTGAAAGAGAGTTGTTTAAGGAGTATGGTGGAAAAAATTGAAAAGCAACAAGCTGAAAGATTGAAAACTCATGCTGATAAATTTGAATATGAGGTTAAAAATCTTCGTGATGTTGCGAAAGAGCGTCATGAAATTTTTGTTGAGCAAGTGAAGATGATCAAAGAGTCTCTTGATCTCAAGATGACCGCGATTAAAGCGGAGAGGGAAAAATAAGTTAAGAAGTTAGAGAAAAGTCATTTTGTTCTTCATGGCAAAGTTGATATAGTTGCTAATGCAATTGCCAAGCTATTTGAGTACAATTCTACTTATTCCACTAAGCTGGATGCGAAGACAGAATCAGATTCCAGTGTCTTAGAAAGATTGGAGGATTTTTTAAGCAGCATCAAGGAATCCATTTCGCAAACTGCTCTTTCAAACCAATCATCTGTTTCCCAAAAAGCAATCACTAAGATGATTTTGTCTATTGAAGCAAATATCAAAAAGGAACTGGCTCCCATCCTTGAGTTGGTTCTTCTTCTACCAATAAATTCTCCACCAACGAAGGAAGTGTCGCAAGGGGGAGAAAAAAGGATGTGGAGGTGTTGGATCTTCAAAATATGTTGATAAGGATGTAGTTGTTGGGAAGGTTATGTCTACACAAATACCCACTTCACTACCAGTTTCTTTGACAACAACTTTGACAACTAGCATTCAAGATCGATAACAAAATGGATTGTCATTGGCGAAAGTGCTGGAGGATCGGGGTCAAGTTCTAAACCACCTCCTTCGAAAGACAATCAATGAGATAAAGGGAAAGGTCTTGAGGTAACTCGATCTGAAGAAGAAAAGAAGAAGATATTATATGGAGATCGAAAGACAAAGACATATCAATATTATTCTGAGGCAAAAAGAGAATGATCCACCAGGTTTGAACAAGGGTGATCCCAACAAACACAGGTAATATGAAACTATTGAGCAAGTTTTTTCATTAGGGAAGATGGATGATTTTCGCAAGGTTCCAAAGAAAAGTTATGATGTTGAAAACTATGAATTCAATTAACTCGATTTTCCTATCAATCACATGACCTACATTTCCTCTCGGTACAAGTTGGTTGATCGATTCAAAGACAGTGAGAAATATAAAAGACTGAAAATGAGATTTCATGCAGTCCTATGAAAAAGAAAAGAGGAGAATTGGTCTTCTGTGAAGATCATCAAAGTGATGTCGATCTCTCCGGAAAGCTTGTTCGAAGGCATTCTACAAAATTTTCACTATGTTGTTGTAAGAGCGAATAATGCAGTCTGTGATTTTTTAGTTGTCGACTTCCCATTGACGAAATTGAACGACTTAGTCACAGTGATGTCGATTCTAAGCAATGTGGATGTAACGAAACTACCAAAGAATAACAAGGACAATTTTCTCATCGACTTCGCTCATATGAAAGTTTTCATCGATAGTGTAACGCCCTGTTCCGAATCAATTCCTAATTCGAAGTTGTGGCCCGAAGATCAGTTATCATAAGGCTTAGAGCCTTTGAGAAGGTGAGATCTAGGCCCATTTGAGTGCAGTGATGTAATTTGGATGATCCGGGTTTTCAGTTTTTGTTTTGTAGCCAAGAGTATAATCGTAATTTGTTAACTTGGTCTTTTATGAATTTTGGATTTTAGTTTGGAAGTTTTTATGGCAAGGGGGGTTGATAGAAGTGTAGAGCTTCTCTTTACCGTTCTGTGGATATAAAAACATCAAAAACGGAGTTGAAACGAAGAAGTTATGGCCGTTTGAAGTTGGAGTGGGTCGGGTGAGTGATCGTTGACTTGTTGACCATGATCATTTAAGGCTTACCAAGTGAGAGGCACTTGATGCTCCAAAACCATAATTTTAGGGTATTTAAAGGTATAATATGATATGGGTTTCTCCTCCTCAACCTCCTTCACTCCTAAGACCTCTGGAAACCCTAATCTCATCCCCCATTGAAATTCTTGGTTATTCTTGGTGGTATTCAAGTGATTTTGGGTCTTTGCAGCCCTTTGAGGAAGAAGAAGATCATTTATGGTGCGTATGTTAGCATCTTGGCTTCATCATCAGCTAGTTGTGGAGCTTTTGGACCTCTATAAGTCCTCAAACTCATGTCTATCCTTTCATTGCTTGCTAGATCTAAGTTTCCATGCATTTATGGCTTGTTATGTTGGTTAGCATTCATGAGATCCATAAAGTTGGAAACTTTATGGATCATGGTGGTATCTTAAGTCTTATAAGTCTTAGATCTGGATTTTGGTCATGGTTTTGCACTCTAAGCTTGATTCTTGGACCTTTTTCCTTCATTTTGACCTAAGATGGTGTTTGAGTCATGCATTGGACATGCATGAATTAAAAGCTTCGATTTTTATGGTACTTGGGGTCAAGGAAGACCCTCTAGACTGTCCCATGTTAAGGCTTAATGGATTAGGAGCTTAATGCTCCTTTTTGGTCAGATCTGGCCTCACGTCGTGAGGAATAAGACCTCACAACGTGAGAGCGTGTTCGAGGGAGTGTCTGGGAAAAAGTCACAACCTCATGATGTGAGCATAGGGTGCTCACGACGTGAGCATCTCCTATGCAAGTTTTGGGCTCTTTGATTGTTGGGTAGCTTGGTCTTGGACTTATCTTTTGGTTTGGGTTCATAATGGACTAAGGATTTTAGAGTAATGGACTTCTGGTTGGACTTGACTTGCTGGGCTTGCCCTAATGGACCTTGGATGGTGATATAGGCCTTAATGGGCCCAATGGAGTTGGGCCTTGATTGGGTCCAATGGGTTTGGGCCAATTGTGGCCTGGTTAGTTGGGTCATTAGTGGGCCTACTGCTTGGGTTTAGACTTGTGTATTGATGGAGTTTAGTTTTGGGGGTTTTTGTTCAGTGTTTGGTGCCGGTTTGCAGCAGAAGCAGTTGTAGGGTTCGTCTTTCGCTTGAGGTGAGTTTTCTCGTTATATCCATGGGTCGAAGACACCAATGCCGACCCATTACGTGTTATGTGGTATGCTAGTTGTCTCTGTGATACTTGCATGGAAGACCCTGGGGGTAGCCTGTCACGCCCCAAAACCGGAACGGCGGAAACGTTCGGGGGCGGAGAACGTCATGTACAGTATCCCAACAATGCATAATAGTAAACAAGCAACAACATCATCCATTGCATTAATAGTAATAATTTTAATACAAGTGTGTTGTGAAGTTTATAAGACACAACCAAAATAAAAGGTGAGTCTTGAATGTGCTCCATCTTCTCAAAACCTGGTCATCGGTACCTGTCTACTGGTGACCTGAGAATACAAGTTATTTTGAAAGCGTAGATCAGCATTAAAGCTGGTGAATTCATAAGTATTTTAGTGTCATTGTTTGTATAAGTTTGAAGAATGTATTTGTAAATGTTTTATGTAAAAGTTTGTAAGTAATTGATGTAAATGTTTGTAACTTCCTAGAAAATCCTATATTTTCTACTAAAGCAGTCTTCTACCAAGACCCAACTGTTCTCTATGTTTGTTCTTTTGTAAAAGTGTGCATTTTCCCAAAGTATGACTATCATTACCAAAAATATAGTTTTCATTACCGTTTATGTGAGAAGATCACAATGTGAATGAATTGGGAAAAATAAAGATGTACTGTAGTTTTATCTAAGTAACTACCAATGTACTAACTATATTTAAACTTGTTAGTTAATTAAGGTAAAATGTGATATGATTGTAACCATACTTGATTGACTAGTATAACACGACATTCGAGACGTCGAAATGATAGGACATTCGTCACCCGTAGACCTGCAGGTCCCACTGTAGCTAGCAGCAAGGTGTAGGAGGGTCAGTCCCATACAGATCTATACACAAATTCACGCTCTCCCTCCGGGAGACTCTGGGTACAAAACGTGACACAACTGTATATGCCGAGCCATGAAGTAGTGTCTCACATTAATGTTATAGTATTCTTGTATTTGTATAGTATGTACTAGTGTAGTGTATGCTCTCTCTGTCTAGCATGTAGTATGTTCTCTAGTGTATAGTGTATAGTATGTATTGTTTCTCGTTATAGTGTTCTCCGTCTGTTTCTCTTTATAGTGAGTATTGTTTCTCGTTATAGTATTCTCTATCTGTTTCTCTTTATAGTGAGTATTGACTCATGTATGAACTGACTCTTTGTATGTTTCGTTGTTCTAGTAATAGTAATTAGTGACTTCCTAACT